TACCCAAGTCCAACCTTTACTTAGATTCCTTTCTAATGAGCACTGATTTGTCAATTTCTCGCATATTTATTGTTTCTCTCTAAAAAGCATTTTAAAATGGCTAGTTCTAACATTTCTTTGAGCCTCATTTATAATCTAAGCATCATATTATAATTTTCCCATGCTCACATATTAAATTTTTTGTGTTAATATAGTTTTGTGCCAAGTTTATTATTTTATTGTTAGTCTTGCTATCAGAACTAAAGAAGGATAGAAGGGGGTCAAATCTTTCCCTCCCTGATAGTTATAAAATTAAAAAAAAATTAAACACAAAGATTACATTCATGAAATGATTTATTCCGAAGCCACAGCACCCCAGCAACAATGAACACCTCAGTGTTCAGAGACGGGGCGGAAAGAAAAAAACCGGGCTCTGGAGACCAGGACATTAAACACTACACTCTACTACCTCTCGGCAGCATATCCTCTCCATGCATCCTTTCCTCGTGTTTTGTTGTGTTGTGTTTCCCAATTAGCTGGAGTGAAGAATATAAAGATGGACCTGAATTCACTTATCATTTTTAGTGACCTGAGAATGCTGCAGAACAGACAAGGCTTATCTACCGTGGTGGGACCTGCTCTCCACACTGTGCTAGGTTTCAGGGGTAGAACTGTCTATTTCTATAGCCTCTGGGATGGAACACATCTAGATGCCTGAAAATTCCATCCATGAATCAAATCAAGACACAGAAATGTAAATGAGGGTAATCCTCTCTCCCCAAGGTAATCTCTAACTACTCTCATTTACCAGTCTGTCCAAGCTCGACAAAGTGGGTTCTGGGTTAGAATCCCAGCAACCCCTTGCTCTTGCTGACAACACTGAAAACAACCGTTTATTTTGGTGCATGTTCTGGGAGACCTCTGGTCAAATTCCACTTGTGAGCAATGCCAAGCAAGTGTTTCCTTTGTTGTGGAAACAAAAGTAAATAAAAATTAACAAATTTTGCCAGTAATGTAATATTTCTAAATTCAGTATTCATTGCTGTCAAACAAAAAATTATATACATCCTGAAATGAACAGAAAACTTGTAAGGCTGCAAAATTTCTGTGAGCAATATCTCAGCCCAGAACTCTTACTCATTGCTATTTACTGGATAATTAAAACTAAAATTCAATGGTGGACTTTACTCAAATGAAGTTAGACTTAGGATTTAATGTCACCATAGCCCTTCATTTTGTTCAGGAGGGAGTGAAGGGAGTCCTGAACAACTCCTGCCTTTTTGAAGTTTTACTGCCTCACCTATGCAAAGCTCAACTATGGTTTGTAATCCAATATTCAACAGCGGGGCAGGTCATATGTGAATGCTATCTAAACTTACCGTGGACAGAAAACAAAAAGGACTATGAAATAATGCCTTGAAATGTCTTTGCCTCATGGAATCTTGAAGCTTCCAGCTCAAGGTGTTTCTCGTCACAGTAAGGTCTCCCCGAGATAAAGAACTGACCCTTGAAAGGAACAAGGACCTGAAACAGGCATCATAATAACAGAGGAAAGCTTCACTCCTGAGCTGTCCCTGCATCACTTGTTCAAGATCACAGTAAGAAAGATGGATGTAAAATCTTTTTATCATTTTGGGAAAAAAAAGTATTACCTCTACTACCCAAATAAAGCACAATCAAGAGGAAACCAGAATCAGTGTTTCAGGAGACAGGGAGGAGGGAAACTTAGTTTTCTTTTGGCTTCGTGAGATGCTACTTCTTTAATCAATCAAGAAATCCATTCAAGAGTCCCCCACAGCCCAGATTAAACAGTGTGGTTTTACTGTGGGCCAGTGTGCCAAGCAGCAGCTGCCGCGAGAGTGACCCACAAAGGCACGGGTGGCTGCAGAAGATGGATGCCAGCTAAAGGGTGGCAGGCACAGCAGAAACACCTGCCCAAATAGGCAAGTCTGGCAGAAGAACGAGCACGGTAGGAAAGTAATCTGGTTCTATATGTAAAATGCTGAATTAGGGACATCCTCACCTTCTCACAATTCTCACTTTTCCTATCAATTACTTGCTTTAGTTACTAGGCAATTGCTCATCCGAGGGTGGGCATGAAAATAAAGCAATTATTAAGAAAACAAATTCTATTATAAGAGTCAAACAGAAAGTCACTACTTAAATTCACATTCTAAAAACATTTCCGATACCAATTTTTGATTAATGGTCTGATGTGTATGGGCAGCATATGCTGTATTCTTTTTTTCCAGAAAACTCCGTCTTTATGAATAAATGTGGCTTAATATTCTAAAAATGGTATGCAACTGTTTGAAACATGAGGTTTAACAAAATACCAAGATAAATTCAGAAAACAGCTTACATTAGATGGGATGAAAAGTAAAGGAAGAAAGGGAAGGAGGGAGGGAGGAAAGGAGAAAGGGAGGAAACACACACACACACACATACACACACACACCCCTGCTGTCTAGCTATCCTACAGAAAAACCAGAGATTAATTAGATGATTTATGGAAAGTGCTCTGACTCTTTGAAAACAAGGTGCTATATAAATGGAAGGTATTAGTTTTCTTATTATTTTCAAAAGCATTTCATTCACTTCTGGATGAAACATCATACAACTAATATCCAGTCTGCTTTCTTTCAACAATAAAAATTAATTAAATCAGAAGTCTTTTAGAATTTTTATTAGGCAAACACCAATTCCCCATTCACCAAGTCTAATGCTTATATGAGTATCATTTTTTAACAAGTTCTTGGAGCCACAAATTCCTAACAAAGCATTTTAATATACATTTAATTACAGGCATATAGGTATTTCTGACTTTTGAGAATGATGCCCTCATCACCAAGACAACCATGTGCAAATATTATATTGACTACATACCTCGAGTAATAAGAGAACAAAATGTGGTCCCTGACCTCAAGGAGCTTGCAAATGTAAGAAGAGGACATATGCATGAAATATTAAATACCCACAAATCTCATACTCATTAACCAACACTGGCTGGAGTGGGTGGCACATGTTCTCCATGAACGAATTTTCCTGAAAGTCTCAGCCGTCTGTTACAAAGTTCTAAACCATTTCCTAAAATGGGATTATATTCAAGGGAAATTTTCTTAAAAAGAACAGCACACCTTAATTTGCTGGTTATGAATTTAGTACACGGTCATCTATCCCTGGGACTCTGAATCATCATTTTGGCCTCAGATGGCTAGAGTACAACTGAACTCAGTCTCTGCAGAAGGCTGGGGCCTCTGGAGGTGTTATGGAAGCTTCTTTCATCCTAACCAAGGAGCCATCAAAGTGCTAGTGTTTGTTTAAATTATTCTGCCTCTTTTCAAATTAGCAGCTTGTCATTTATTCCTGCTACCTGGACCTGCTCCTTACAGCTCCTATCCCACTTATAAATTGCTTGTGCTAATCTCCTGTGGGCTAGGAAACTCAGAAATCCCAAAGATGTGTACACAGAAGGACTCTCATGTAAGTTCCTGAAACACTCCAAATACTTTCCAGCCTTTCTTTGACCTTACCTGTGCTCAAAGGGCCTGGTCTGATTTAGTGCTCAGCTATTTTCTAGGTAAATGAAACTGTCAAATTCATGCCTCACTAATCCACTCAAAAATGCCTAGTTTAAACGAATAATGGTTCTTTCCACCCACCAGCTCAGCTTGTACCATTCCCTCAACAAGAGACTCATTTGAGTCTCCTGCCTATAACCCATGGCCTGCCCTGCTGAGATCAGTCCCACAGGGGAATCTGAGCGCTGTGCAGAGACAGGACGTTCAGAGAACATCTCTCCAGGAAGCTCATGACAAGGACTCAGACAGACGCTGGGATGTGTGGCTACAGCCCCCAGCTACAGCCTGGGAGGGGCCATTTTTATACCACCCTGTGAGCTCAACCTGTGCAACTCCCCCAAAGGGAGACTCATTTGACTTGTTCCTCCAACCACTGGAGGCCCGGTCCCACTGAGCTTACTCCTGCAGAGGAGCTGGCTGGCTGCACCCAACCTGAACCAGCGGTGCACTCCTTCTGGGGGAGCTAGGATCAGAGACTGGGACAGAGACTGAGTGGTATGGCTCTGGAGTAGGGACCACTTTCTCCCACTGAGTGCACGACTGCACCAAAGCAAGAGACCCACTAGCTCCATCCTAGTCGCCTCACCCTATAAAGCTCATGCCTTGAGAAAGGGTCTGTGGATTGCAGCCAGCCTAGGCCCATTCTACAGCCTTCTTATGGAAGGCTCTCCAGGAACACCAGGCAACCTCAGGGGGTGGCAAAGTGATGGGCAGGTAGAGTGAACTTCAGGGTGCCTTGGATCTGACTCCAGTTCAGAGCTTAGAGGAAGCCAACCCTTGTATACAACTTGGCCCCTCCAATGAATATCCAGGCCCAGTAGAGGCAGCTACAAACAGAGAATTGTGTGGTAGCTCAGAGAGGTAGCCCAAGGCCCATTACAGACAGCATCTGACATCCACCTGCATCAGAACGCCACCCAAGTAGCAGAACCAACACAACCAGAGGTGAGCTTCAGACCACACCAGAACTCAATCCAACTAACCACACAAGCAGCACACCCAAAGAAAGACCACGGCCGACACCAGACCCAGCTGCAAACAACTCTGTCTCAGGGGATAGCCCTTGAACAGCAACTCGTCTATACTGTGATCAAAGTCTATCTTTATAGTCAGCCAGCCTGAAGGCTAACCAAACCCATGAATGAGCCAACAGCATTCAAGACTCAACTACAGGAGTATGGCACACATAACCTACACAAGAGACATCCTGGTCCATCCAGCAGCTGTGGCACCCACCGTGACCCCTGCCCTCCACCCCCAGAATCAATTGGCAGCATACCAATCTCAGTTTTATACTGTTGTCAAAAGCAAAAGCCTGTGCTTAAATAAGAAATCAGCCCCCACTAGAGACATTCAAGCAAAAGTTGGACAACTACTTTTTCAGAACAGAAAGGAACTTCATACATCAGAAAAACTGACTAAAAAACATAATGAAAGAATATGGCTGCACAAGTGCCAGAATCTGATCAGACAAAACAGTTTCAAGAATTTCTTGGAACCTACAATAAACTTATAGAAACCTGCTTTATGCACTGTGTTAAAGACTTCAGAGGCCAGCAGTGTGGCTCAGTGGTTGAATGTCAACCCTTGCACCAAGAGGTCGCCTGTTCGATTCCCAGTCAGGGCACATGCCCAGGTTGTAGGCCCAGTCCTGAGTAGGAGGCATGCAGGAGGCAGCCAATCGATGTACCTCTCTTACATTGATGTTTCTGTCTGTCTCTCTCTTTCTCCTTCCTTCTGTCTCTGAAATCAATAAAGAAAAAAAAAATTTTTTTTAAAGACTTCACAAGAGAAATAAAACCTGAAGAGACCACATGTTCAGAACACTGCTTGCAGAAATATTTTTAAATGATGCAAAGAATATCCATGAGACTTCAGAAATATCATATTCAGCACAATGAAGCCCTGTCAGCCAAAGTAGGACTCCTTGGCCAGCCAAAATAAAGAAGTCCTGAAGAATGGACCTTCCATGAAAGACTGCCAAAAACTCTGCACAGCAAATGAGGGTTAATCTGATAGAACCCCATGAAAGCAGTAGCCACCATGTTAACCATCTATCATGACTCTTTAGCAAATGGAAACCACTGAACAAACAAAACTGCTATTAACCAGGGATAATTAAAATAGTAAATCCTATTGTAAATAAAATTAGTAAGATGCAACATTTGTTGAGGACTTATGATTCAGGAGCTTAATCACTTGATTAGAAAAACAGACCACTGTTTCTTTAATAGTGACTATTAAATATAAAGAAAAATATGTGTTCAAACTTAAATGAGATAGAAAAAATTTTGTTTCTAAAAATAAAATAAATGGAAATATCACTGGCAATTACAAAATGGCGGCAGAGTGAATCTCCCAGGACCAAACTGGAATTACAAGTAAAATAAAGACAAATCGTCAGGAAAAGGCAACAGGAAAGCAGCTTGTGAAGACCATATAACCAGGGACATTGACTTGATCGAGGTAGGATTGTGGAGGCACGAGAAAGGGGCTGGGAGCCCACAGAAGCAGCGGTTGTATCTGTGAGCAGCACCCTCGGGTTAAACTCCCAAACAGCTCCACAGCCCAGAGCCCAGAGAGATGCTAAAATAGCCACAGCCACTCACCTTGGGCTCTGGCATAGGGAGGGTGGACTAGAATGGAACTCTGTGGGGGCACTAGGTTTTGGAGGGCACTCATATATATTGCTGAGTTGCAGCCACGCAGGAGAGTGGCCATCATACCCCTTCTCAGGGCTCTGGAGAGAGGCAGCAGCCCCTCCCTCAAAGATTCAACCCCACCCAGGTGGGCATAGAAATGCAAATTGAGGATCATTAACAACCAGCATCTGCCCCACTCTTGGGAAATCTCCTAACCCTGAGCACCTCATGAAGATTTTCATTCAACTGAGAACCCAAGGCTCTGCAAGTAACGACTACTGATAGCCTTCAGGCAAAAAGCTAGAGGATAACTGAGCCATTCCTGGGCTAGCAACTCTAACCAGGAAAGTAAGACCTGACATTAGTGTTTAACGTGGGTCCTCCCTCACTGATCCAAACCCAGGAAAGGGAGCCACAAACAACAGAACACCAACACCCACAGGGAAAAACTGGCAGACTCCAAAGCCCACTGTGATAACCAAAATGGTGAAACAAAAAAACAAAAGCCACATGAAAGAACAAGAAACCTCTACTGAAGATGAGATAAATGTGGAGCAGTTAAGCAAATTAACAGAGCTAGAATTCAAAGCCATGATCTTGAGGAAGCTCACCGGCATAAGTAAGGACATCAACACCATGAGTAAAGACATAGAAATGTTGAAAATCAACCAAATGGAAATTAAAAACCACCAAGAAGAAATCAAGAATAACATATTAGAAATGAAGAACAAACTGGAAGGTCTAAACAGCACAGAAGAGGAAACTGAGGAACGGATCAGTGAATTAAAAGACAGGATAGAAAAAAATCAACCAATCAAAAAACCAAAAGTAAAAAACAATTAAAAAAAAAACAGGAAGTCAGCTTAAGAGAACTCTGGAACAACTAAAAACGTAATAACATTCGCATCATAGGAGTCCCCAAAGAAGAAAATGGGCAAGGGTTAGAGAATATATTTGAGAAATGGTGACAGAAACATTCCTAATTTGGTGAAGGAAGAAGGCATTCAAGTTCAAGAAACACAAAGAGCCCAAAGTAAGAAGAACCCAATCAGGCCCACACCAAGACACATAGTAATTAAAATGCCAAAAATTAAAGACAAAGAGAGAATCCTAAAGGCAGCAACAAATAAGCAACGGGTAACCTACAAAGGAAACCCATTAAGGCTCTCAGCTGACTTCTCAATAGAAACACTACAGGCCAGAAGGGAGTGGCATGAAGTAATCAAGGTCATGAAAAACAAGGATCTGAATCCCAGGCTACTCTATCCATCAAGGCTGTCATTCAAAATAGAAGGTCAAATAAAGAGCTTTCCAGACAAAACAAAAAAGGCTAAGGGAATATATTAACAACAAACCAGCACTGCAAGATATTCTGAAAGGACTGCTGTAATTACTAGAAGAAACAGGAAGAAAAATACAACCACACTAAACAAAAATGGCAATAAATAAGTACATATCAATTATTACCTTAAATGTGAATGGTATGAATCCTCTGATAAAAAGACACAGAGTAGCTGACTGGATAAGAAAGCATGACTCACATATATGTTGTTTAAAAGAGACCCACCTCACAACAAAAGACTCATATAGACTGAAAGTGAAGGGATGGAAAAAAACTTTCAAGCAAACACAAAGGGAAAAAAAAAAGCTGGGGTAGCAATACTCGTATCTGATAAAATAGATTTCAAAATGAAGGCAATAACTAGAGACAAAGAAGGCCACTACATAATATTGAAAGGATCTATCCAACAAGAAGATATAACCTTGGTAAACATTTATGCACCCAATATAGGAGTACCAAAATATATTAAAAATCTTCTGGAAGACTTCAAAGAAAAAATTGACAGCAATACAATCATAGCAGGGGACTTCAACACCTTGCTGAAATCACTGCATAGATCCTCAAGACAAAAAAATTAGCAAGAAAATAGAGACTCTAAATGAAGCACTAGACCAAATGAATTTAATAGATATCTACAGAGAATTACGCCCCAAAACTGCAGAATTCACATTCTTCTCAAGTACACATGGGACATTCTCAAAGACAGACCACATGATAGGACACAAACTAAAACTCTACAAGTTCAAGAAGACTGAAATCATATCAAGCATCTTCTCAGATCACAATGGCATGCAACTAGAAATCTACTGCAACAAAAACATGCAACGACATTTGAACACATGGGGACAAAATAGCATGTTATTAAACAATGAATGGGTTACCGAGGAGATCAAGAAAGAAATTAAAAACTTCCTGGAAACCAATGAAAATGAACACAAAACAACACAAAATCTATGGAATGCAGCAAAAGCAGTTCTGAGAGGAAGTTCATAGCACTACAGGCCTACATCAAAAAAAACAAGAAAAATTTCTAATTGACTGTCTAACTTCACAACTTAAAGAATTAGAAAGCAAACAAAAAGACAACCACAGAGCAAGTAGAAGGAAGGAAATAGTAAAGATCAGAGCAGAAATAAATGACATAAAGAAAAAAAAAAAACAATTCAAAGGATCAATGAAACAAAGAGCTGGTTTTTCGAAAAGATAAACAACATTGATGGATCATTAGCTAGATTCACCAAGAAACAAAGAGAGAGAACCCAAATACACAAAATCAGAAATGAAAGAGAAGTAACAACTGACACTACAAAAATACAAAAGATCATTAACAACTACTATGAACAATTATATGGCAACAAATTCAGCAGTCAAAGCAAAATAGACAAATTTCTAGAAATACATAGTCTCCCAAAACTGGACCAGGAAGACATAATAACCTTGAACAGACCAATAACAACTAAGGAAACTGAAGAGGTAATCAATGCTCTCCCAGCAAACAAAATCCCAGGCTCTTAGGGCTTAACGGGGAAGTTTTACTGAACATTCAAATAAGAACTAACACCCATTCTCCTCAAACAATTTCAAAAACTCAAGAAGAAGGAAAACTTCCAAACTCATTTTATGAGGCCAGCATAATTCTAATTCCAAAACCAGAAAAAGACACTACAAAGAAAGAAAACTACAGGCCACTATCCCTGATAAACATAGACGCCAAAATCCTGAACAAAATACTAGCAAATCCGATCCAGCAATAAATCAAAAAATTATTCACCATGACCAAGTGGGATTCATCCCAGGGATGCAAAGCTGGTACAATCTTTGCAAATCAATAAATGTGATACACCACATAAACAAAATGAAAGATAAAAATCATAGGATCATATCAATAGATCCTGAAAAAGCACTCTCAAAATCCAGCATCCGTTTCTGATAAAAATACTCAGCAATCTGGGAATAGAGGGATCATATCTTGACATAGTAAAGGCCATATATGAAAGTCCTACAGCGAACATCATACTCAACGGGCAAAAACTAAAAGCATTTTCCTTAACAACAGGAACAAGACAGGGATGCCCACTTTCACCACTCTTATTTAACATAGTACTGGAGGTCTTAGCCACAGCAATCTGACAGGAAGAAAAAATAAAAGGGATACAAATTGGAAAGAAGGAAGTGAAACTGTCATTATTTGAGATAACATGATATTATACATAGAAAACCCTAAAGACTCCATCAAAAATCTACTACACTTAATAAATGAATTTGGCAAAGTAGCAGGATACAAAATTAACATCAAGAAATTGACAGCATTCTTATACACCAATGATGAACTCACAGAAAGAGAAACTAAAAAATAATCCCATTTACCATCATGGCAAAAAAATTTTGATACCTAGGAATAAACTTAACAAAAGAAGTAAAGGACCTACTTGCAGAAAACTACAGGACATTGAAAAAAGAAATAAAGGAAGATATAAAAAAGTGGAAGCACATACTTTGTTCATGGATTGGAAGAATTAACATCATTAAAATGTCCATACTGCCCAAAGCATTGAATGCAATCCCCATCAAAATACCAATGACATATTTCACAAAACTAGAACAAATACGTAAAACGTTCAAATGGAACCGAAAAAGGCCCCGAATAGCCACAGCAATCATAAAAAAGAAGGACAAAGTAGGTGGGATCACAGTACCAAATATCAGATTACGGTGCAAAGCTACTGTAATCAAAACAGCCTGGTACTGGAACAAGAACAGGCATATAGACCAGTGGAACAGAATAGAGAACCCAGAAATAGACCCAAGACAATATGCTCAATTAATATTTGACAAAGGGGGCAAGAGCATACGATGGAGTAAAGATAGCTTCTTTAATAAATAGTGTTGGGAAAATTGGACAGCTACATGCAAAAAAATGAAACTAGACCATCAATTTACACCATACACAAGAATAAAAT